CATTTTTTACGGGCAATTTGCTAGTTTTATATTAAAAAAAATAAAGCAATGGAAAAGTGGAAAGGAACATTAGTCCTGTGACTGTCCCAACTGCTGGACAGACAGGAATTGAGCATTCAATGATTTCAATTAATGGAATACTAGGTTAGAGGAAATGAGTTTTCTGAAAGATAAACTGAAGTAAAATTCACCATCTACTTCATTACCAAGGTGAAGTAGGAACGAACTTCTGTGAAGTTTCAGATCCACCTTGTCATTATGAAAATTGTAAAGGTCAGCCATGAGTGCCTGCAACCTACTCTTTCTCTAAGAAAAAGTGGCTGCAACTAGAAGACCAGACTTAGAGATACAAAGTAACTAGCACTCTTAAAGTGGCTCAAAAGAAGGCTTGCACAAGTCTTAAGAGGACTAATGTTGAGACTGTATATAGGAACAGGCTCTCTGAAAGTCAGGTAAGCATAAAGAAAGGCTTCTGAGGAACTGGGTGACAACTGGATGGCAAAAGGAAAATGCTGCAAGGTAGACAATGTAACTAAATAGAAGGCAAACAAACTAAATAGAAGGGGCTGCTTCCACCCAGCATCTCCTGCAGTGCCAGTAGAAGCCAGCTTCTGCTCATGGGGGGTGGAGCCTGACCATGGGCCTCTGTGTTGTCCTGTCCCACCCCGCCATCAGAGCTCTTGGCAGCTGTTGGGTCAGGGGGTGGGGGACTCCAGACTCCATATCCTGTTCCCCCAGCTGCAGACATATGTAGCAGGTTCTGGCTTCAAAGAGAGGAGGACAGAGGACAGTCCTGTGTGTGCTACAGCCCTGGACAGGTTTATACTCTCACTTCAGCGCCAGGCCCAGCCCAGCTGTGGGAAGTGCGTGTATATATGCGTGCACACATGCATGTGTGTGTGTGTGGCCCTCAACAGTTCACCAAAAAACACATTAAGTGGCCCTCCAGCCCAAATAATTGCCCACCCCTGGCACCATGTTCTCATCAATCTTCCCCACTGAAGGTAAAGGCCCAGGCAGAGACTGCTGCATCACAGAAATACATGTGTGGCTGAGGAGGTAGTGTCAACAGGATGGCTCTGGATTCTTCCACAATGAGTTCAAGGAAAGAGGACTGCTATCCAAGTAAGGGATCCTCCTGATAGTAACTATAAAGGGCATCTTCAGGCACTGTCTGGCTAATCTGATAGAGGGCTTTGCACTAAGCCCTATGAAGGAAAACAGAAAGATGTCATGGTGTGATTAAGATCAAGTGATGTAAACTGGGAGAAGAGGCAGAATTCTGATGAAGCAGTAAGAAACAACAATACAGCAGAATGAGGAAAAAATAGCAGAACGGACTTCAGAGTAACTTCTACGTATCTACACAAATATAAGGAGTATGGGGAAAAACAGAATGAACTGAAAGTTATAGCATGTAAAGAAAAATATTAATGGACAGTACTTAACAGTTATACTTAATATTACTTAATAGAAACTTGGTGGGATAAAATCCTGGTTGGAGTTTCAACATTAAAAAGCACTTTTTTTCTCAAAAGAGACAGAGTTGGGGAAAAGGTATGTCCACTGGGCTGTGTCAAAAACATTTATGCTTGATCCCACATCCAAAAGTTAAGAATATGTTGACCATATCTTACAAGAGTTGAGAAGGGTAAAGGCTAAGAAGAACAGCAGTAATATAGTAGTGGTCTACTACAGACTACTTCATCAGGCAGACAACGTAGATGAGATATGCTTTAAGTAACAAAAATATTTATAAGTTATAAGGCAGTACTAATGGTGGATTTTATTTCTCTGGTATCTGCTGAAAGAATATGACAGCAAAACAAAATGCCCAGCAAGTTCTTAATATGTATACACATAAGCAGATAACTGTGTAACAGCGCCGCAGCTGCGACGCGGTTACTAGAAGAGAGGTAACAGCTGCCGGGAACTAAGACAGCCAGGAAGTTGCTGGGTAGCCCCAGGCAGCCAATACAAAGCCGGAAAGGGGTAATAAAAAGGGGGAGGAGACATCACAAG